CTCTGTCGATAAATCATTTTCTACACTCACAGCATCCCCTTTTGAATTAGAACCAGAGTTTTAAGAGCTCTCCAGCTGTCACCTGGAGATTGGCAACAGCTTGTTTGGAGGTTGGGGTCTATGGTGTGTCTGTCTGAGGTCCCCCTCTTCCTCCTCCTCAGACCCTACCCTCAGCAGGCTTCATCCCTAAAATATCCTGGAAGTTTCCAACCTGGAGTTGGCAACCCTATGTCCTTTCCAGGCAACCATCAGCCTACCTTTATCGGCCTGTCTGTCTTCAGGTTTACATCCTCCCCCAGCCTCTGCCTAGGGAAAGGGCAGTCTTTCCCTGCAGTGGGAACCAAAGCAGCTGACATCATTATCCTCTCCCCCGTATGATCCGCACAACTACCCTATGAGGTATGTTAAGGTTGAAAGTGTGTGAATGGTCCATAATCCCCCAGGCAGCTTTTAAAACATGAACCTGGGACCTGCACACCATCCTCTGAAGCGCTCTCTGTGGCAGTAATGGGGTGACTGCTGGCACCTTTTCCTATCTTTTTTTGCCTTGTGGTATTCTGCTTGTGGTGTGATCTGTCTTCTTTGTGATGTGGCATGATTGTGTTATTGGGTTTGTTTCTTTTGAAGGGGAAGTGATGTGTTGTGAGTGAGGACATATTTTACCTCAGAATACAGTAGGTTCCATATGCAACTGACAATTCCAACTGCCTTGCGGGGGGTGAGGAGTTTGAGGTGTGGAATAGAGTGAAGTCCAATCAGCTTCCATATGCAAAAGACCTTGAAACGCTGGGCAGGACTGCACAAAGCAGCCAGTCAACCCAGCCAGTGTCTTCTGACTGACAGTTCTTGCTGCCAAACACTAAAGGTGTGCATTTGGAACGTTGGAGCCCACTACGGCTTTATATATAAGGGAGATAGCCTTGCCAGTATTAAGTTATGACAAACTGATCTGTAATAGTAGCAGTTCCTGATTTCATCTGTAAGGCTGAGTCTACACCTGATCTGCTCTGTCAGAAAAGAAAAATGGAAACTTGGTGATTCTTTGAATAGAAATAGCCCTAAATAAATCAGCCTCATTTTAGATGCCTTGACACATTAGTACCCATGGAAAGCAGAGCATCTGTAAGGCATCACAAATGGCCACTACATGTTTAGGCATGCACATTTCAACGATCTTCAAGTACTTGAAGGGCTATCATATAGAGCATGGTGTGGAGTTGCTTTCTGTTGCCCCAGGAGATTGGACTAGAACCAACTGGTTGAAATTAAATCAAAAGAGTTTTTGGCTAAATATTAGGAAGAACTTCAGTGGAACAGGCTTCCTCGGGAGGTGGTGGGCTCTCCTTCTTTAGAGGTTTTAAAATAGAGGCTAGATGGCCATCTGACAGCAATGCTGATTCTGTGAACTTAGGCAGATCATGAGAAGGGAGGGCAGGAAGGGTTGCATCAGTACTTAGTTCTCATGGCCCTTTCTTACATGCCCAGGGAAATGCAGATTGCCACTTTGGGGTCAGGAAGCCATATTCTCTAGACCAGTTTGTCCAGGGATCCTGGAAGTTTTTTGCCATCTTCTGGGCATGGAGCAAGGGTCACTGGGAGTGGGGGGGGATTTGTGAATTTCCTGCATTGTGCAGGAGGTTGGACTAGATGACCCTGGAGGTCTCTTCCAACTCTATGAGGAATTTCACATTACCCTTTTTAAGCTAGTTTGAAGCCATTTTTGATCCGTCGTGGAGTAAACCGGTATAGGGCTGCCATTTCACACATGGCTTTCCCCTACCGGTAAATAGCTGGATCTGAAGTGGTTTGCCATTTCAGACTGCAGTGCTTTTTCCCGCCATTTTTCGCCCGCGTGGGCAATCTCCGGCTTTTTAAAAAAACGTTCGCTTTAGAGTGCTATAGTGCTATAACACAATACTCCAGGCATTCCAATGGGGTTGCTATAATGCTGTTTTGCTGTTGTGTTATAACGCTATAGCGCTCTAATGTGAATGTTTTTTTAAAAAGCTGGAGATCGCCCCTGCGGGCAAAAAACAGCGGGAAAAAGCGTTCCGGATCCGGGAGAAGAAACTGAAGACTATTTGGAAGTGGTTTACAGGTAAAACAGTTCAGTCCCATTTCCTGAATGGGACAGAAGCATTTGTGTGTGAAAGTACAAATATATTTTGGTAGGAAACTGGTTCTAAAACGGTTCTGTCTGAAGTGTCAGACCAGAAACCGTTTGGGAACCGTATCTGAACCGGAATATATCGCCTGTCTGAAATTCCTCTATGATTCTATGATTTGTCCTGTCTGTTTTAATGTGAAATAGCTGATACAGCTGTGACATATGTCATTGCCCTAGAAAGAGTGAATCAGCCTTGAGTATTTCCCTATTTTATCTTACTCAACCTTGAGTTACTGGGAATGTTTAACTCTGGAGATGGATCTCCTCCATTATTGAATCGCCAGCTACCATACTGTACTGGTGGATCAGAAAGAAGGGAATAACTATAAGAGCATGTTCTACCTTCACAGGCTTCTCAGCTGAGGGGCTTCATGGTAAAGTCAACCAAAAGCAAAGATTTTTGTCCCTGTTCAATTATGATTCTCTGAACATCTTATATCCTTCATAAATGGGAATTAGATTTTCACCTCCTGAGTTTGGTATCAGCCTATGTTAAAAGCTACTCAAGTGTTGTGATGAGAGCACAGAGGCTGCTGGGAATGGTGGGAGTTGTTGAAGAGGCCAGGCCCCTTCCATCTCTGGCACAAAATGTGGGTCTTAGGGAGGCTTGCAACTTACCTGTCCCTCCTGTTGTAGTTGTTTCACAGTGGGAACCCCTTAGCAACCTACATGCTCCACTGGGCAATGGCATTGCCCACTTTCCTGAAAAAGGAGGCTGGCGCCACACTGGGAACTGTTGCTCAGAAGAGTCACATGTGGCTCCTGAGCCACTATCACTGTGATATAATTTTAAAACCTATGTTAACTGGGAAGAAACTGACTTTCGTCTATTTTGTAAGACTTTCCATGCGTCATACTGTCATAGCCATGTGTAGGCAAGTGGACTAATGACTGTTTGAAGAGTGCTGTGGCTACAGTTAAAGTACTGCAGTAGTAATCATTAAAATTAAGTGACTACCATGACCAGCTCTAACAAATTATGTTTCTTGATATTAACTATATCCATTTCTCCACACCCCTTGCTGCCAAATAGATCTGATCCAGGCCACAAATGAGACAAACGTCAACATTCCGCAGATGGCTGATACTCTGTTTGAGCGAGCAACAAACAGTAGCTGGGTGGTTGTGTTCAAAGCCTTAGTTACGACGCATCATCTAATGGTTCATGGCAATGAGGTAAGCATAGTGTTCTCAGTCAAGTAGTGGAACTTAGCATTAGTATTAAAACATGGTTGGTATTAAGTTAATATTTTTAACTATGAGTTTCCTAAATACTACTTTTAAAAAATAATTAACTTTTATTCCCTAGCTTCTAGAGGGAATTCTAAATCTTGTGTGATTGTACTTCCCTTGCATGAGAAAATTGGACTCTTGAAAGCTTATACCCCAAAATTCCTGTGGGTCTCCAAGGTGCTACTGGACTCAAATATGATTATTTTAGTGGCTCTTGCTGCACGTTCCACATCCCCTTCACTGGCCCAAGAAAATGACTGCTTAGCTTAGTACTCAGTTTTGCCACCATGGAATTAGGACCTAAGGGGGATTTATTTATTTTTTTGCCACTGCCATAGATTTTGTGACAAAAGGGCCAACCCCAACTTCCTCTGTGGGTGTGGTCTTCAGTGGGGGAAAAAACCCTGGGGCTTATGTTTTCGGGTGAGAGCGCTGATATCTGTCCCAGACAAGAAATCACCTAAGATGAAAAAGCACAAGCACCGTAGCAAGTTATGGACAGATTCCCAACACCAGTCTTCACCAGTTCCCCTACTACTGTAGACACTCTCATTGTAGCCCACACTGTTCTTAAGGTTTCCATTGCATCACAAGGCTGATTTTGGGCAACATAGCAGCCTGCAGTAGAGAGTGGGAAGGAAAAATCCCATCCATGAGTAGAGCTCGATTCATGTTTTTTGGAACCCAAACAGTAGTCATTGGACAATGTTGAAAGAGAAATTGGCTAATTTTTTTAATCCCTTACAGAGGTTCATTCAGTATTTGGCATCTAGAAACACGCTATTCAATCTCAGCAACTTTTTGGACAAAAGTGGATCACATGGTAAGAATAATTACTTCATAAATAAAACTTTCCTAGTATCTGAGCAAAGTTTTAACACTTAGATAGAAAGATCTGTTTCTTCCCTGGAGATTGTGGCTCAAGCCAAAAATATCAAAATCAAGAATTTGTTTAAATAATTTAACATTTTATTCCTTAATTTAATCTGTGTTGCTTCTGCTACCTCTTTGTTGTTGCCCTTTTTAATTATAGAAATGAGATTTTAAAAATGGGTAGTTGTAGGACCTGGTAAAACAAAGCTGTTTTAAATTTAACAGATAAAATGAGTTAGTATCACTAACGCTTTACAAGAAGTTGGTTTGAGTGTGTATGTTGTGTGTATATACATGCACAAAGGACTGACAGTGTGAGACTGATAAATCTGTTTGCTTTACTAATGATAGTAAAGCTTCCATTTTGTATGACAAGCTTCAATAGTCCATTTCCACAGTGGCAGATTTCTCTCTATATATGTATTTTATATATGTGAATGTGCCCCTCTGGGATAGGATTATTGCAAGGTGTTAAAAAGAAAATATTAACAGGTGGACTGTTCTAACTGTGAGTGTTTAAGAAATTGTGAAAGATCATGCAGCTGCTTGAAAAGGCACTTAACCTTGAACATTAACTAATGTCGGAATTAGGTGATAGGCAAAAATTGATCTGTCAGTAAGCAGCCATATTTTGATGATTCCTTGATGGTATTATTCTGTAGGGTCTTGCCCCTTCTGTGTGACTGGGGGCAATGTACTTTTTTCTGTTTTTTAATCTATCTGCCAAAGAAACAGCTGTATCAATAAGACAAGTAAATAATGCATGTCAGTATTCAAAGTTTGAATGATTTCTGTAGACTCTGCAATGTTGCTATTGTACTTCACATTCTCCGCCCTCAGTTATAACAAAATAATTCAAAGATTACATATGTAGATCCATGCAGCTAAGTACCAGATCCCAAAAACTGTTAATGAGAACATAAGAGAAACCATATTGGATCAGGCCAATGGCCCATCCAGTCCAAAACCATGTGCCATCAAGAGATCCACCAGTGAGACCAGAACTCCAGAAGGCCTCCTGCTGTTGCCCCCCAAGCACCAAGAATACAGAGCATCACTGCCCCAGACAGAGTGTTCCATCTATACCTTCTGGCTAACAGCCACTGATGGATCTCTGCTCCATATGTTTATCCAATTCCCTCTTGAAGCTGTCTATACTTGTAGCTGCCCCCACTTCTTGTGGCAATGTATTCCACGTGTTTATTACTCTTTGGGTGGAGAAGTACTTCATTTTATCTGACTTAGACTTACTGCTCATTAATTTCATTGAGTGCCCATGAGTTCTTGTATTGTGAGAAGGGGATAAAAGTACTTCCTTCTCTGCCTTCTCTATCCCATGCATAATTTTGTAAACCTCGATCATGTCATCCCTTTATTGTCGTTTCTCCAAGATGAAGAGCCCTAACCTCTTTAACCTTTCTTCATAGGGAAGGTGTTCCACCCCATTTATCATTTTAGTTGCCCTTTTCTGTACTTTTTCCAATGCTATATCTTTAATACCTAATGCTCTGTAAGACTCCTCTAGCTTCTTAGCTTACATTACTCAGACCAACACTACAGTGACTGTATACATCCAAAACATGAAGGTATGACATTATGAAAGCAAGATCCTTTCTCTGACATTCTCAGTCATTTCAGTCTCAAGTAGACCAAAGGATGAGAATATTTGGCACCGAAGACTCAAATTTGACAAAGAAATAGAATCAAGATTTTTCAAGGAACTTTTGAGTAAACTTGAAGTTTTATTTCGTTCTCATAATTGTTTTGTTAAGTTTTGGTGCTAAAAGAGTTCTATTCTGTTTAAGACAAAACTAGATATTTTTTCAGTATATTACTTCCCCACCACAGTTCATTCATTAAGGAGTATTTTCCTCCATATTGGAATTTTTCTAATCTGTTGCATTATAATGGCAATTGTTATACTGAGTGAGGGAAGCAGTATGATTCAATTCTTAATATTGTGTATAAAGTCAGAGGACACAAGTGATTTCATAACCTGAGTTTGTCAAAGCAAATTCCTGCTTGTATAAAAAGAAATACAATGAATAGAAATGGCAGTGTTTGAAAGAAAACTAATTATACAGTTGTAAGCACAGAGACCATAACTGGAATTCCAGGATTGGGCCGGGGGGGGGAGCTTAATGCTTCTTATTGGTGTCTCAAATAGCAGGAGCTGAAAAATATTTTATTATTATCTATTATTTTAGATGGTGTGGTGTCTGGGGATGCTTTGAGCTTTGATAGGGACCCATTTTCAAACTGCATATCCATTACTGGATTTTTTCCCTATATCAGTTTGTGTAATTTTGCATTATGTATTCAAACTGAGACTGTTTATTCAAATTACAAAACCAGATTCAAGTAGCTTGTCTTAGAATGTTCATTGCTTCTTCCGCGTATTATGTAAGGTGTTAACACAGTAGGCTAAAATAGTGTGAGTTTTTTCAGCTTAATTGATCTTCTTCATCGTCTCTGCGCAGTCCCACACATGGGGTTGGGCGCCTGCGCACGACCTTGATCGGAGAATGTTCCAGAGCTTTCCTCAGAAGTCTTTTTTGGCAGGCTCTCTTCACGCCATAGGGAGCAGACACACACTGCAGATGCCTGGAGCGGGGGAGAGAGCCACCTCCCATCCAATTCTTCTTCGACCACCCTCATGTTCACACCTCTCCAGGGATCACTCTTCAAGTTGCCTCAGCTGAGTTTTTCCTTCGTTTTTCCTGTCTTTTCTCTTCGAGCTTCGTCTCCGTTTTTCTATTTGTCTTTCTTAAAAAAAAAAAAGAGGAATTATCTTTTCTGTCAACTTTCCCCCCTTCCCCCCCACTAGGGAAGGTGTTTGTATGGGCTGCACTCTGTTTTTTAAGGTGTGTCGCCAATGCCCCGCAAAACTCCCTTCTAATGACGGCCACGACCTTTGTTTAATTTGTTTGGGGGAGCTTCATCGTGTTGATTCCTGCCCCTACTGTGCTAAGTTCACTAAACAGGCCCATCGTAATAGAGCAGCTCGCCTAAGAACTATACTTTTGGAGGCTGCACTTCATCCGGCAATGTCCTCAGCGGCCTCACAGTCCTCTTCCATGCCACAGCCTCCTCTCAAGAGGATGCTGAGAAGTCCTTGAAAAAGCATAAATCTAAGGAACACATCAACAAAGACCCCTCAGCGCTGAAGGTGAAACGGTTGACATCAAGCACCACTCCGAAGCTCAATCCAGTAGTGATTTTGGATCTATCTACATCAACACCTACAGTCGCCTCGGTTCCGACTGCACCTCAAAAATTGAAACCCCATCCTCGAGTTTCAACACCGATCTTGTGCCCCCAAGTGGACCAGCTTACACCGGCTCAGCATGCACAGTCACCGATGATGAAGTCCTCTGGCTCTCGTCACAACTCTTCCAGGGCTTCTAGACACTGCTCTGTGTCTTGTGACCCACCTGCCTATCCACATTTTGGATGACGGGGAGCACTTCATGAGTAGTCGATCTCGATCACCTCGATCACCTCGATCACACTATGATCACAGGACATTCGATTACCATAGATTGTTGTCCAGATCTCCATCGGGATCTCTTTTTTAATTTTTTAAACATTTGTATTGATGTCTTGCATTTCATATCCGTGAATAATCCTTTCCATCAAATTCACATAACCAAATATCAAATACATCAATTTTCCCCTTTATTATTCTCTCCCCCCTTGCACGAGCGACCAATTGAAAGGAAAAAAACCCCTTATTATTATATCTGCAACCATGAGCACACCTTATGGATTTTTATGAATACATAATTATTGGGGGGCCCTTCTCTTACCCATCTTATACACCTAAACCCTTTCTTCCTTCTCTCCAACGCCTTATCTTCCCATGACTTTTCCTGTTTTAATATCAATAAGATATCTGATTGAATCCATTCATAGAGATACCAGTTCCATCTTTCCAAAGTCCATTTTGATGCATCTTTCCATCCATATGCTACTACTGCATGAGCTAATCATAGCACCTCCATCGGGATATGATTACAGATCTTGGTCCCCGGACCCTAGGCATCACAGGTCCTACCATTATATATTTATTTATTTATACTTTCAATTTCTATACCGCTCAATCCCAGAGCCTCTGAGCGGTTTACAAGCATTTTACATTTCCTAACTAGGGCCACATACAACGTATATATATATATATATATAGGGAGGTGAGCTCCGCGCGAGCGCCCCCGCCGACATGTGTGTTCTTTTCCTTATGGCGGAAGCTTGTCTCGGCGGGCTCCGCAGCAGCTCCTTCTGGGGAAACTCCCATAGTCTGCGACTGTGCAACGACTTCCTGTGCTGGCCTCTGTCCAATTGGCTCCAGCCAAGCAGCATCGCCGCATTGTCGCGTCTCAGGGCCAATCCCCGCCTGGAACGATTGCTGCTTGGTGTTAAATCACCACCATGTTCTTTCATCGGATCGCTCCACCGTCGTTGCCGCCGCTGGCACCACTGCTCCACTCCTCCTCGTCACCACAACACCGGAAGGTGGGTGCCCCCCTGCACCTAAGGCAGGTACCCATTTATCTACTTGCTAGGCTTTCGAACCGCTGGGTAGGCAGGAGCTATTACAGGGCTTATTCTACTAGGTGGAATACAAATAAATCCAACACCTCATTGCCTGGTACACATGTTCTTTAGACAAAAGAGGACAAGAGGGTACAGGACAAGTATGAGCCGAAAATATTTCACAGGAAGTTAATTTATCCAATAGACAATTATGTGAAGTGGAAATTTCTATTTTGAAGAAAGGATTCTCATTTGTACCCACCCTAAACATGATGATTTCAAACTTATGGTAGAATTACAACGCCTTTTTAGGAAAATAAAACTAGCTGTATCAGAATCATGATACAGGACAAAATGTCAAATTTAAACCCAAATCCACCTTTAATCCACCCTCCCAAAAACCTAGAGTCTTAGCCTTCCAAGAAATGGTATTGGAAGACATAGATAAAATGTACAGCACTGAAAATAAGGTTTGGCATAATTTGACTAGGGCAGAAAATGACTCCCTCAAGAAATTAACAGCCCTGGAGGATGTTGTTTTTAAATCTGCAGATAAGGGAGGTGCATTGGTTATATGGGACCGGGGTGATTACATAATGGAGGCTAATAGACAACTGAATTAATACCTCACATTATAGCCTTAGTAGGGAGGATCCTATGCCTGCCATTATCCTTCCTACTCAAGGTCTCTGACGCCTCGCTGTGACCCCTATAGAGTATCGCGGGACACTGATCTCTGTCCCCGTCACCTGACCATGTCTCATAGTAGACATTCGCTTTCTGATGCCTCGGTGCACTCCTTGGTGCTTGACCAACACCGTGATGCATCGACTTCAGCAGACGCCCCAAAGCGTTCTCCATCAGAACCTCGGTACCGTCCTCCTATTGATGTTAAACCGTCTATAGGTGCATCTCAGCATATTCGGTCACTGTCTCCGGATTCGGTCTCTGACCGCTCCATCTCGGGTGACTTGGACCCCGATGTCATCTTGATCGAGGATGATGGCCCTCGCGCAGGTTCTCTTTCACCTACTGAAGGTCCAAAAGCTTACTTGGAACTCATAAGTAGAATGGCGACTGCCTTTCAAGTACAAGGCACCACTGATACACCAGCAGTTACAGACGTAGTTCACAAGTTAGTTCAGACTGACTTGCCACCATCCACGAATCTTCCAGTGCTCCCAGTTCACCTTTCAGCTCTGAGAGAGTCCTGAGACCACCCTGCTTCGGTGCTTCCGCTATCGAAGAGATATGATACCATTTATAAAATCCAGGAATCCTCAGGGAAGTTTCTATTTAACCATCCTTCCCCGAACTCGATGATAATTCATTCCTCCTCAAAGTCGAAGCAGCCTAGGCAATCCATTCCTCCAGACCAGGAGGGTCGTAGAATCGACTCTATAGCTAAGAAGTCCTATTCAGTGGCTGCTATGAACATTCGAATCAATACTTACCTATCCTACCTTTTGGCTTATGCCTTCAATGTCGCTACTGCTGTTCGTCCAGTCCTTGATGCCATGCCAGAGGAGTGCAGGACCACACTTTCTGCTGCGCTGTCTGAGATATGTACTATATCTAAACAACAGATTAACTCCATTAGGCATGCCATCACTTGTTCCTCCAAGGTTCTAGCCTCTTCTATCGCCCTTTGCTGGCATGCATGGCTTAGAAACACATCTCTGCAGCAAGAAGTGAAATTTAAGATCAAGGATTTTCGATGGCGAAGGCCTTTTCCATGCCACCATTGATGAAATCTTGAAGGCTGTAGATGATAGTAGGAAGAAAGCTAGAAATCTAGGGGTTTCCACCTTGACTCCGCAATGTCCTCGATATCGACAATGTGAAAGCCTTACTAAAATAAACGCCAGCCTTCCCCTGCTGCCACTTCGCAGTGGAGGTGTAGATCTTACGATCCTCAACAGCTCTCTCCAAGCTTCAAGCGTCTAAGAAACCTCAACAGCCGAAGCAGTCTGCTTGACTGTCTCCATAGCCTGACACCACCTCCTTCTTTCACTCCTCCCATTGGTACCCGACTCTTCCCCTTCCTTTCAACTTGGGAAGATATTACCACTGATACTTGGGTCCTAACCATCATATGGGTCGGGTACACCATAGAGTTCATTTTGCCCCCGACCTTCCATTGCTTCGTCATCACACTGCCGACTCCATCTCTCTGCCTAGAAGTAGGTACGCTACTCGACAAGGGGGCCATCGAAGTCGTGCAGGAGGCACAACGAACTTTAGGCTTCTACTCCAAGTACTTCACGATCCCCAAAAGGGATGGTGGTGTTCGGGCTATTATGGACCTTCAATATCTCAATCGATTTGTTCACTGCTGGAAGTTTCATATGGTCACCCTCCAATCGATTCTTCCCCTCCTTCCAAAAACAGGGTGGCTAGCATTGAGAGACCTTCAAGATGCCTATTTTCATGTTACCATTTAACCTCAACATCGACATTTTCTCTGTTTCACCATGGAGCCACTCATTACCAATACAGAGTCCTTCCTTTCGGCCTCTGCATGGCTTCTCGTGTTTTCATGAAGATGATGGCGGTGGTGGCCGCAGAACTCCACCGTCAAGGGATTGTCCATTATCCTTACATAGATAACTGGCTTCTTGTAGCCTTGGGCCGCAGAACTCCACCGTCAAGGGATTGTTCATTATCCTTACATAGATAACAAAATCTCAGTTCGAATGGGATGTCCTCTCTATCCTGACTCTACTGCACGACTTGGGACTTTGTGTGAATCTGGCAAAGTTTGCTCTTCAACCTGTTCAGGTTTTACAATTCCTGGGAGCTCATCTCGACACCATTTCCAAGATCGCCTTCCTTCCGGAGTCCATAATGTCTCTAGTGTCCACCTTCACATGTCACCCTCAACAGTCTGCTTGGTCGATCATGAGACTTCTTGGGTACTTTGCCTCCATGGTCTTTGTAGTCCAACACGCCAGGCTTTGGATGCGTCCTCTTCAACTCTGTCTCCTTCGAAATTTCAATCCCCATCGACTTCCATGGCACACAGTTTTCTCCATTCCTGCACAAGTCCTTTACACCCTGACCTGGTGGTCAGTCCCACAGCATCTCCTATCCAGCATGCCCTTTCGACATTGGCATGCCCTATCGACAGATGCCTCCCTTTGGGGTTGGGGAGCCCAATGCGGGTCTCTGTCTGCAAGCGGAATGTGGACTCCTCGAAAGAGATCCTCCATATCAATGCCCTAGAACTTTGAGCAGTTCATTGGGCCCTGATCTCGTTCCTCCGGGTGCTGGCTGGCAAGGTTGTTCAAGTCGCCTCCAACAACATTGCCACGGTCTTTTACATAAACAAATAGGACAGCACTGCCTCTCTCCAACTCTGCCGCATAACCATCAACCTTTGGGACTGGTGCCTTCGACACTCCATCTTGGTGTCTGCCATACACATACCAGGTATTCAGAATGTCAATGCCGATGTACTCAGTCATGCTCCTCTACAGGAGAGCAAGTGGTCTCTCCATCCTCAATATCTTAGTCCTGTCTTCCACAGGTTTGGTTGCCCAATGATAAACAGGTTTGCAACTCCAGTGAATGCTCGATGTCCTCTACTTTTTCACTCGAGGTCGACCATCACCCAGATCTCTCTGGGATGCATTCCTTAACAGATGGACCAGAACCCTGTTTTACTTCTTTCCTCTCTTCCATTTTATTTCAAGGGTTCTCCAAAAGATTGTAGTAGATACCACCTCCTGCATCCTGATAACTCCCTGGTGGCCTCGTCAACCATGGTTTCCTCACCTGCTGCATCTCTCCAAGAGCCAGTTCCTCCATCTGCCTCGTGCTCTGAATCTCCTGTCTCGAGATCGAGGCAGGATCCTCCACCATGACCTGGCCTTCCTCAAGCTCACGGCTTGGAGGATCCTACAGTAGATTTTCCTCCTGTCTCCAGCAAGGTGCTGCTTAATGCTCAAAAGCCATCCACTTGCAACGCTTATTGATGAAAGTGGACCAGATTTGTAACCTATGCGGAGCAACACTCCTTTGATCCTTACCAGGCATTTTTGGCTGATATTTTCGCTTATGTAGTATCCTTGAAGGACTCTGGTCTTGCATACTCTTCACTGAAAATGCACCTGGCCACAATCTCGGCTTATCACTCCCTGATACAGGGTGTCACAGTGTTTATCCACCACATCACAAAGTCCTTTCTAAAGGGCCTCCACCTCTGTCCCCTTCGAAAGCTGCTGGTGCCTTACCCAATCGAGGTCGTACCACCTCTGTCCCCTTCGAAAGCTGCTGGAGCCATCCTGGAGCCTATCTTTGGTCCTTACCCAATTGATGGCTAAACCGTTTGACCCGATGGCTTCAGCAGACCTTCGGCTCCTGTCCTGGAAGACGGCATTTTTAATTGCTATCACTACAGCTCACCGGATAGGAGAACTTCCTGCCTTCCAAGCAGATTGTCTTTATACTATCTTCCACAAGGATAAGGTGGTTATCAGGCCAGACCCAACCTTCCCTCCTAAGATAGTCTCTGCCTTTCACCTGTCAAAGTCTTCTGTCCTACCTACTTTCTTTCCAAACCCTTCTGATGCCTCTCAAAGGGCCTTGCACTCCTTAGATGTCAGGATAGCTCTCTTTTTACCACTCTCGCATGCAACCTTTTCGAAAGTCTCAACGCCTTTTTGTTGCATATGCACCCCCATGTAGGGGGGATGCGATCTCATCACAAAGTTTGTCAAAATGGGTGACCTCAACCATAGACCTCTGCTATGAGCTATCTGTATTACCGCCCACTCTACACAAGCGGTATCGACTTTGACTGCCTTCCTGGCTGGTGTCCCGTTAGAACACGTCTGTGCTGCTGCCACGTGGTCCTCCACCTTGACCTTCATGTCCCACTATGCACTAGACGTTTGAGCTCGATTGGATGCTGCTCTTAGCCAGGCGCTGCTGAGATCTCTCTTCGCATGAGTCTTCTGCTTCAACAGGTAGGACCTGCATATGCAAATGGCATGGGTCTTAACCAGTATTCTTTGTGTCTTTTGCAGCTGCCAGCTCCCTCCTCCAACTGGTTCAGTTCTGGTAATCACCCATGTGTGGGACTGCACAGAGACCACGATGAAGATAAACAGGTTGCTTACCTGTAACTGATGATCTTCGAGTGGTCATCTGTGCAGTACCACAATCCCACCCAGCCTTCCCCACTGCTGGCATCTCCTGATCACTTATCTTTGTTGATGGAACTTAACGGTAGCAGTCGAAGGAACTGAGTGGGAGGCGGCTCTCTCCCCCGCTCCAGGCATGAGCAGTGTGCGTCTGCTCCCCAGGGTGGGAAGAGCCCGCCAAAAAAGACTTCTGAGGCAAGCTCTGGAACATTCTCCGATCAAGGTCGTGCACAGGTGCCCAACCCCATGTGTGGTACTACACAGATGTCCACTCGAAGATCATCAGTTACAAGTAAGCAACCTGTTTTTCTGCGGATCAAGCAGTCTGTTTGTATCTGATACATGCAGTCAGTCACTCCTCATTGTAACTTGAAAATAATAGCATATGGCAGTAGAATGAATGAGTGCCACAATATAAAGTAATGTATAATTTTTAAAAGTGACTATAGTCTGCTTCATGTCTGTTGTAGGCAATAGCTAGTCCAAACGCCCACCCAATTAATTTTTCCTTGTATTAAGTAACAGTCTTGTATAATAAATAATAGCTGCTTCTTAGTACCGTGTCCATTGATAGGAAGGTTATGTAGTTCTTTACTTAAAGTTTCATAGTTAGAATAAGATAAACCATTCTGGTCAGTGCAGCCCGTGAGGCTGCCATCATTAATGAACCCATCTGTTTCAGAGTAGCCTCGGCTGATTCTCTTAATTTACTGTTGAAATTTAATAGGCTAAAAAATTCC